ATCGATTTTGAGTTTGCATTATGGTTTTGTTAAAGCTTCAGTATTCTCTTGTCCATTGTGCTCATTAGATACGCCTAAGTGCAGATAGTAATACAAACTTTTCTGATGTTACTGATTCATTGCACGGTTAAAAGTGACAGCTACGCCATACTTTGTCTATAAAACTTTGTATTGATTTGAACAAAATCAATTATTAGTAAAAGTAGTACAGTGTATAAATCAGGATCATACCTTTGATACCACTGATTTGTCTTTCTGTTGTTTCCGGACTGTCTCCTGTTTGTAGTGATTCTGTATAAAAATGACATCGTAGATATTATTTCATGTTGTACATGTTTACCCAACTACCATACCTTATTTCTTTTCTCTTGGAACATAACGTCCCTGCATAAAATTTAACCTGCAAAATCGGTAGAATTTTAATTCACTGATTGCAAGTGTATGAGTAATGGACAGGATGTGCCTTGGATCGGTATGGCGATCACAACCGTATAACAGATTTAAGAGGTGAGCTTTCTGCCACTATACCTAAGAAAACACTTGTTTAGAGAGTTGATTTTCTTAAAATATTCTTCAAGGCTAGTAAGAATGAATAAATCATAACAATTGTCAAATATGAATTCAACACTATTTAATAAAAGCTTTTTTTTTCATTTTGAGTTTACATTATGGTTTTGTTTACTCTTCGGTATTTTATTGTCCATTGTTGCTCATACGCCTCATTGCAGATAGTAATACATAGTAATCACGGTTAAAGATGGCAGCTACTTTATCGTTTGTCTAGTATACTTTGTATTAATTTGTATGGATATCAATTGTAAGTGAAACGTATCACAGTTTATAAACCACGAGCATACCTTTGATATCACTGATATATCTTTCCGCTGACTCCGGACTGTCTCTTGTTTGTAGTGGTTCTGATTAAAAAATAATATCGTAGATATTATTGCATGTTGTAAATGTTTTGTTTACCCAACTTCCATAAATGATTTCTTTCCTTCCTCTCAAGAAATATTTTTGTGTTCGGACAACTCCTGTTCTATATATTGTCTAAAATGACCATTCAGCCATAGCAGTTTACTTTTGGTTCTGTTAATGCAGTACGGATGACCAAATACTAATTTTACATTAGAAAACAAAATCATTGCAATTTATTTTACTGATTGCAAGACGAATTGGGCGACTAAAAGCATTATTTCTTCATATCATTTTCATTTCTTATATCATAGAATTTAATTTGTGATATAATGAATAACTTGAGATATCAGGTATATACGAGTTTTGATATACAGTGCAAACCTTAAGATCACTTATAGCATACATATGAAATTTTAGAAAAAAAATGAAAAGTGACAACAAACTCTGTCAGAATCCAAGAAGGCTACCTGGCGGTCATATTATTCTAATTATCCGTTCCGCTCATCTTTTAAAATAATGTCAACAAATTTGAACTGTCAAAATTCAAGACGGCTACTCAGCGGCCAACTTGTTTTTCGATCAATAAATATTTAAGGATGGACCTCGGACGAATGGCGCTTTAAAAGCTAACGATCTGATGATGGTCGGCAAAGAAAGATTTCCCGAATGGATCAAGCGTTTTCGAGGTCTCTGACCACAGGTTAACTACGGAGCTTTTTCATTTCTCTTCGAATAATGACAGAAAATAGTATAATCTAAACTTCTTGGCAACTCCACGAGTTTGTGAAATTAGGCAAAATTAAGCCCTTGCAATAGATTTTCTTTTTTTAAATGCAGAATAAAAACAAAAAGAAAATATTCTATGGCATACTGACGTTAACAAATGGTGCATACTTCCTTAGCAACAACCCACTAGCATCAAAGTTTGAATGAAATGGTTTGATATCAATGCCGAAACGAAGCTTTATTCAGAAATAATTTGTTAAATCTTGGATCGTAACTTCCTGCATAATGTTCTCATAAACTACTTGGATTTGAAATATAATAATTCATTTGTAAGAAAGAATCATAATTATGTTTTAGGCAGTTGAAAGAATCATAATAAAAAATAAAGTATGAATTGGAGCAGGTATTGTGGGTTATGAAAAAAGGTTTCTCCTGGATTATATCTTCAAGAACAGATTCATGCCATCAATCTTCTAATGTTCAAATGTACGCTGTTATTTGCGTAAAATGAATTTGAACAAATACTACAATAATTCACATTGATTGCTAAATCAAATTAATTAAATACGTTCATTGAA